ATTTCTCCTGGTTTATTGATAGTCAATCACAAATACATATGTATTAATGTTGCTATTCGTTGCGTGTCATAGTGTCATAAAGCAATCATTTCAGTGATGGAAGCTCATCCATACTTTCCGACAGTGGTGAAGCCAGAATTTCCATATCTAGGGAATTTTGGGTGTTAGCAGTCTGGATTTGTGGGTGTTACTTAAAAAGTACTCATAAATTTTGTTTTCTTATATTGAAAACATGTGAGGACTAAGATGACTTACTGACCACTTGATTACCTAATGTGTTCTATCTTTTTGTGTCCAAGCTCGGCGTCACTTGTGACACAGATTCAGGGAAGATATCAGTTGGGTAGGTTCAAAGTAGGAGAGTGATTTTAGAGATAGTCTATAAGATCATATGACCTTTGTGTGATAGCTTCAGATAGTTTATTCCAGAGGAAGCTGTGCCAGAATGGGAGAACACTTGAATGGCCCTGAGTGGGCCTCTGAAAGCCTCTGCCCTGCAGACTATCAAAGCAGATGCTGAGTCTGATGGCCAACTGTTGGGCAGAGTGAATGGAATTCTATGTAACAAGTGGGAAATAGTAAGAGCTATTTAACTTTTATTAATCACACTTTATTCATTTTGTATCCCCCATAAGCCCCTCCCTCCTCCCCTCCCAGTCCCCCTCCCCCCCTTTCTGCATGCATGCTCCTCCCCAAGACTAAGATCAGAAAGAAGGAGAGGAGGACCTCCCCTATCAGTGGACTTGACTCTCTGTTTACTGGAATAGTTTCTTGATATCTATTACGAGCCCCCCAACCCAATAATTGGATTAGTCTCCCTCATCACTTTAAACCTGGGGCTACCATTTCCTGCCCAGGTTACGCTCATCTCCCAGTAGACACACTAGATGCTGCAGCCTAGTCTGTTTGTATAAGACACAGGTTTGGACTCTAACAACAGGGAAATTGCCTTCATTCAGGATGAAAAGAAGATTAGTTTCCTTTAAATGTATCTTTTAATCAGGCATGTGAAAGGCAGTGAACTTGACAGAGATAATATAATTTCTAGGCTAAAAACAACATTTAAAAATATATCATTTCATTTCCCATAGGTACATTCAGAGAAATTTCATGCCCTATAATGCGAACGTTTAGATACGTTAAATTTTTGTCTTAAGCTTGTCTTTTTACATCTGCGTGGTAATGTAAATGTTAAGTCATTTTCTTAAATCTAGAAGGAGGGCAGACAATGAGACATGTAGCTTAAATGTTATGCTCACACAAATGCACTTTATCAAAACTGTCTTTGAGCCATTAAAAACTGTAAGCTTTCAGACTAGGAGAAATGTAAGGAATAGAAGTGCTTAGGTAAAACCCAGAAGGTTTAAGCAGGTGTAGACAAGAGAAACAGCTCTTCTGTACTGTGCTACAGTGCTATGTCATTAACTGTCTTTCTATTGTTGCTTTTATAATATTCCAACTCTGCAAATGTACTTCCTCACAGAGCATAAAAATATGACACCCATGACTTTAAAGAGAATCACAGCCTCCTAATACATAGAGTAAGGCAAACCATTAAAAAAAATCAATGCCTGGTATCTGTCCTGTTGATCTGCATTTTCAATAGAAGATGTTACTTATCTTCTGAGGTAATCTTATATTCAAGATATTTAATAACTAAGTGTTAAACTGAAGTCTATAATTTTAAAAAGCATATTGTCCAAGGGATTAGAACAAAGAACTGTAATGTCATATTACAGAGTAAGTTGTTGTTCATAAGAATATGGAAGTACAAGTTATTATATCTATACTCTCATTTCCAGATAGGGTAGCTGTAGGGAACGTAATAGAACTGCATTAAAATGAAACAAGCACAGCATTCATTAAAAAGATGCTAGCTGAAGAACTCTGGTAGAAAATTCAGAGAGACATAATGTTGAGTGCAAGAGTTTGTATTATAAAGAGTACATCATGGTAGTCCATATGTGCTGAAATGGTGGCTCAGAAATTAAAAAAAAAAATCATCTATTCCCGACGCCCACATCAGGTAGAGCACAACCATTTGTACCTCCAGCTCTAACGCTTCTGGTGGCCCCTCTTCTCCTTCAGACATACTTGTCTTTAAATGGTGAACACCATAAGCTATGTCACGTTCACTGCCTTCCACATACCTGATTAAAAAATACATTTAAGGGAAACTAATTTTTATCCTGACTGTAGGCAATTGCTCAGTTTCTGGAATTGTGCATAACACACATTCATATGTAATTCAAATGTCTTTATGACTGATAGAAGTGTGTAGAGCTCCACCATTTTGTGCTATCTGATAATCCCTGAAAATATATTTAGATTAATAAATGATAAAAATCAAAATACACACAAGCAGACACATTTAAAACGTTAAAATTTTAAACATTTAGAACAGTTTCACAGAGAATTCGGAGTACATATTTTCTGTGTTTGCATGTGTATATGCCTAGGTTGTACATATGTACATATGGCTAAATAAAGTCATTGTAGTACATGAGTGTCTGATAAAATTCAAAACAAATAAATTAGTAATGCCACCACTATAGCGTTAAGGAGTTGGTCATATTATTATGGCATTTGCTCATATTTTCTGGAAACATTTTCAAATAACTGACTTTCAAGCTTATTCATGTACTGTAATTTATATTTAAGTATTTAAATATACCAGGTTTTATTCACACTTGTTTGCAGAAAGTCACATATTAGCAATCACATATGTGATTGACACAACTCAACGAGGAATTCCACCAAGAGTTACTGGTTCTTCTCAGAGCAGATGGGAAGAAACAGTTCCGCAGAGAAGAGCAGACCAATCCATTATCTAACAGCGGACAGCCATCTCTAACTTGTCATACACACAAGGAACATCATATAGACTGAACAGGTTATATTAAGGAATATAGATGTACAAAAAATATGTGCATGTGGAAACTAATGAAAAAGAAGCCATGAATTTGAAAGGGAGCAAGAACAGGAATATGAAAGTGATTGGAGAGAAAAAAAGAGAATGGAAGAATGAGATAATTATATCCTAAAAAATAAAATTTAAAAAAGCTTTAAAAATAGCCACCTTATTTGGAGGAACATATTTTAAAGGAATTAGCTAAGTCGACAGGCAGATACCACATCAAATTTACACATGCACTAGGTATGTAACACATAAATCTTTTATGACTGACAGAAGTTTGAAAATCCACATCACATTGTGCTGACTTCTAATCCCTGCAACATAGTTAGATTGATAGATGAGAAAAAAAAATTGGTACTTTTTAACAGGTAGAAATCCATATACTGTAACTGACTAATATGGAACATATGACGAGCAGGCTGGGTTTGCTAATGCAAATGAATAAGCATGTTGCAAATTTTTATTTCTATATCACAAACTCATGAATGGATCAAAATTCTTCTCTATTCATGAATATTTCATAAAACATTAAAAAATAATGGAAAGACGTGAAAGGGAAGAATCTTGGTTATTTGATCAAAGCAACCAGAGTCAAAGTGGCTTTTTGTACACATTATGGCCATCAGTTATAGGGTGTGATGCTAAGTGACCACCCTGTCAGGGCTCTGCACCTCTATTCCTTGTAATGTGCACTTTGAAATTCCTCAATATCTGAATATTTTCTATCTGTATCATATATGGAGTCCCACTCTTGAAAACAAGCAGGTTAATATTAAGAAAATAGGATATTTGTGGTTGTGAGCCTTTAGCGGCTGAGCCATGAGTGCAGGGAATCTTATGGAAGAAATGGGAGTTAGAAAGACCTGGAGGGGACAGCAGCTTCATGAGGAGATCAAGAAGTCAAAAACAAACAAACAAAACAAAACAACAACAACAACAAAAAACTGGGCATGGGGTCCTTCAGAGACAGATACTCCAACCAAGGACCATGCATATTAAGGACCTAGACACCCCTGCTCAGATGTAGTCCATGGAAGCTTAGTCTCCAAGTGGGTTTCCTAGTAAGAGGAACTGGGGCTGTCTCTGACATGAACTGAGTGGCAGGCTCATTGATCACCTCCTGCTTGGGGGGGGGGTGCAACCTCGCTGTGCCATAGAGGAAGATGATTCAGCCAGTCCTGATGAGACCTGATGGGCTAGGGAAGGAGCATAGGGGGAGAAGAAGGAGGGAGGGTAAGACTGGGAAAAGACCAGGGTGGGGGGGGGCAGTGAGAGTAGGAAGAGCTAACACTGGGATACAAAGTGAATAAATTGTAATAAATAATAAATAAATAAAAAGGAAAGAAGGATAGGATTTGATGTACTCCTTTTTTTTTTTTTTTTTTTTTTTTTCAGCAAATCATCGATATACTTTGGTGTTCAGGTGTAAAAAGCATCTTACAGTGTCCTCTAGTTCTTCCAAGGGAATATATATTTACCATCCTTTATTTTGTATATTTCTACATTATTATCCTGTTTGACAAACTTGATGTGTACTTATTAAATGTTGTGACTTAGCATAGCTCCCATTTCTTTTAGAAGGTATTTCTTAGCTAAATAAGGTAGCTCATACTTGTAATAACACCATACAAGTATCCAAGGAAGGCAAACTGCTAAGAGTTTATGGCCTGTGTGGGCTACCTGATCAGTTTCAGGCCAGTCAGGGCTACAGCATGAGATCCTGGTTCAATGAAACAAGCAAGCAAACAAACAGAAAGCAGAAAATAACAGGTATAGTTTTGGGTTGATACACATAGATTTGACTTAAGAAAAATGAAAGTGTCAAAACACTCTGGGAATAACTAGATGTGTTAGAAATTTCTGTTACTTAATCATTTTTTAATGTATAGTGTTTCTTCACAAAAATAAACAGACTATTAACTTATAATTTCAAAAAAGATGAATAGCATTTTCCAGTACTTCTGTCATAATATTTTAATTATTTGTTGATTTACTCTCTATTTATTATTAAATGAACATATTTTGACAAATAACTAACTTTTCCTGATTTGTTTTTCTCTTCTCTTTTTTCGGCATGCTGCAGTAGCTAACATATTATGGAGAGAAGAAGGTACTAAATTCAATTATGTTTTTAAATTGTTGTGTCTTCTTTCTTTGACTTTTATTGTATTTTTTGAATATCATGCATTTCAATATTGGGCTTATTTTTACTTTGATTCAATATTTTATTTGATTGCACAACAATTTTCTAGTATATACCTAGCACTACTAAAAAATATCATTGGATGAGACATCAAAATAGCTCAGGAGGTAAAGCCTCCTGAAACCAAATTTGATGACCTGAAATTGTTCCCTGGGACACACGTGGTGAAAAGAGAGAACCAACTTCTGTAGAGTGTTCTCTTTCCTTCTCCTGCTGCTGTGACACACACACACAAACACATGCGCACACATAAGCCCACGGACACATGTGTGCACATACACCCATACACCCCCACACACACATACACTCACACACCCCTTCCTACATTAAATTTAAAACATAGTAATTATTAAATCATGTCGCTGTGACTCATTAATAATAATCAGAATCTTTTCTTACAATAGTTTTAAAAGTTTAAAAGTAGGTCAAGACGTAAAAGCAATTGCAATTACTGTACTTTTCATAGAAAACCTTGGTTTAGTCAGAATAAGAGCAATTATACAACTGTCTTATGAAATGATTATTTTATATGAAAATGAGTTACTAGGTTGAATGATAATTCACATAAGAGTCTCATTCCAAAGCACAGGGCAACCACTTTGTATATGTCCTCATATACATGTATCTCTGAAAAAGTGTAACTGATACTAATCATTAGGGATGCTCTTGGCTTTTTAACAGTGATCAGCAGTATAAATGACACCGAATAAACACAGTGAAACTGAGGACCGCAGTTTTTACCATCCTCTTCACTTAGTCACAAAGACTAGGGAAAATGGCCTTTTCATTTCTGTCGCCAATGAGAAGACATTCTGGCTTTCTCCCTTAGGCTCTTCAAACATTATTCATGATCTCTTTCACTAAGGGTTTGTTGAAGCAGTTCTAATGTGACCATGCCTCCCTTTTATTCAATGTGAATATTTCACCTTCATATGTAAATTAGCTCAATGATGCTGAAATCAGCACTGACACGTCTTTTACTGTTTATTTATACCATATTTCCTCTTAAAAGCAAATAAATATTGATCTGGACATGAAAAAATTTATTTCAACTTGTCATTGCAATGGAGAGCACAACATCTACAGAGCAGGAGATCAGCGACCACAGATGTGGTTCTAGTAGTTGACTGTTGAAAAATGAATTGTTAATTCATTGAATGAAATTGAATGAACTGCTCTATCTCTTAGCTGAGCCAGCTACTGCTCATAGTACTTCTCACATGCTGGGCCCTCCTTCCTTTCTGTGGTATGGGAATCAACTTAAAGTACATGAAAAAAAAATCCATATGTTTTAACTTTTACAAATGTCATTGTTATTAACTTATAATAACAATGTACAATTACAATGTAATGTTAATATCATAATCATTTACCAACTGACTTATCTCAGATAGCTATTGAACGCAACTCTAATGTACATAATTCTGCCCGATGCACTAGTGAGGTAGTCTGCTCTTCTGTATTACTCTTGCCTGTAAGACAGGTGACACCTTAACTTCGAAAAGCCTTTGAAGTAAAAAGGAAATAATACACAATATATATGTTCTGTTAGGCTTGAAACTCAGGGCTTTATGTGTAAGCAAGACTTACTATGGATAACCATAATATAAAACTATTATTTTTATCTACTAATATGATCTCAGTGTCTGAAAACAGTTTGTGCTGCAAAATCATGATATAAATAATATAAGAATATAAAAATTATTCTAGTCAAGTTGGGAAATATTCACATACATTTTTAGCTAAATATATTGAGAGCATTTTATATATTTTCTTCATACATACGTGCAAATATATATTTAAAGACACTGAAAAATGGAAAGATGGTATTAATTAATGAAATGTTTCATAAATATTTAACCCAGTGATAAACATTTGATTGACAATAATAATACATTTTAAGTTTTTATTTCCCATGTTATAATTTATAAGGTCATTTGACAATTTAATCCAGAAACAATATCACCACAAATTTCTTTTCCTATTAGCTTAGGATGCATCCAACATCCATAAATGACTCAAATCATATTGGAACAAAATTTATCATGTATATGCTGTTTATAATTAACAGCAGAGTTAATAGGATACAAAAATCACTCTATCAGTGTCCTGTCCCCAGGGGCTAGAAATGAGTAAACACTGAAGCCATATGTCCTTCAGGACTCTAATACTGTAATAGATGTTCAGTATCGGTTAGAAATACTTTCTGCTTACAAGAGTGCACAGAATTCGTTCTATGACTGCTATCACCTCTGTACACAAAGGAAACAATACAGAGGAACTAAGGTAATAATAAACTCTTTTCTAGAGTCATTATACACCACTAGATTAACACTTGATTTGGGAAAGGCATGATACATGTGTTAGTCTCCATCAATGTATGAGAAGTAGAGAAGAAAAAAAAAAGCAATCTCCACCAATGTCTGAGAATTGGAAAAGAAAAAAAATATCTATTGGAACTAGCATGGCAGAAGCTTTCACTGAACGTGATGGTGTTTTTAAGGTGCTATAGCATTAGGCACTCACTAAAATTCAGTATAATTGAAAACTAAGTGATGGGTTATCTTTTAATCTGAGAATCAGTACCACTTCACCATTACAGCAGTATGTATTGTTTACACATGTTGTGTCTAATATGCATTTACGTATCATCACTCAAATAAATGCAGAGTACGTAGAGGTTAACTTGTCTAAGTTACCCATGGGGCCAGAGGTAGCTTTCCCTTAAAGCAGGTACTTAGTGTAGGCATGTCCCTAGGTTCAGTTCTAGACCCAAAAGCTAAAAGAAGCCAAAATCTTATCCAAAGAACATATAAACTTTATAATTTCTAAAGTAATTAACAGATTTAGATTGTTCTTCATTTTCAGATATTTTTTTAAGATGGGCTTAATAGCAGTACCAGCTTACTTACCTGTTTATAAACTGAGTTGTGATGATACAGATGACATCACATTCTTGTAGCTTTGAGGAAAAACAGAGTTTTTGTAGAAGAGGGAGCTAGAAAATATGAAAGACATTTTACTCCACAGTGAACATGAACGGAAAGCTCTTCGTAAATCCTGAAAGGACAAATTATGAGAAATGCTCTATTAAAAAGTCAAATTAAAATTTTAGTGGGATCATGAATTCTGGGGAAAGAAGATCTAAAACTGGATATCATCGGTAAGAATGAAGTTTACCACAGAATTGGAAACCAAAATAAGTTCAAGAAAAAATAAATAAATACAGTGACAAACTGTCTTCTGACTCGCATTGCCCATCCTGAGAAGAGACAGTATCGTGAAATTCTCAACCGTTTCTTTAAATATTCCCGTGCACCAATCAATCTGTTCCCATAGTTCTCCTTTACTACTGATACATGTGCGGTCCAGATGTAATGTCTAAATATAATATGGGCAGTGATCTCACAATTATTACTCTTTGCCAGAAATTATGAGTATTTTCGTAATAGTTTCATAATCATCAAGGGATTGTTTTTCTACTGGAAAAAAAAAATTAAACAAAATGACCAAGACAGCATAAAACCCTGATGGTGATATTTATTTCACTTGTGACTGGCATCCTGAGATATGTTTTTGATTTATAAAATTACTGGTGTGGATTAATACTTTAAAGGTAAGAAACAGACTAAAATGTGTGATTTCGATAAATTAGATGTTTTAAAGGGCCATTCATTTCAAAAACTGAGCAATCCAGTAACTCAGTGTAGGACCACACTGCCTCTTTTATGCAGGTAAGAGGGTTAAAAAACTATAATGAAAGTATCTAGAGAGGTGAAGGATGGACATAGTTCAAGAAAATTAACAGACATGCTGGATAGTAACTAAGCTGTCAGTTGCAAATGTGTTCCAATTCAAGATGTGAGTCAAGAAAAGCAACTCAAGGAAGAAGGTTACTCATTCACAACTGAGAGGAGCATATACCACATACAGAGGAGCCTGCATAGCTCAGAAAGACATCACAGCAAGACTCTCTTATGTTAGAGTGTAAATTTCAATGACAATATGCAGGAGCTGATAATAATAAATTGATAAGTATTAAGCAGTAACATAAGTCAATGCAGTTAGTGTTTACATGCAGGCTTGACTGATACAGATAAATGTTTTGGCATTAAAAGCAGTCTACTTTTCAAGCCTTGTTATGTGTATTTGAAATGTATATCCTGCAGCGCACCGGTATACAAATAGCTTAAAGCTGACAAAGATTGAACTATTTCTTGTGAATATTTTTGTATGAATGTGACTGGTACATAGGTCTTGTCCCCTCTGCTGCTGTTCAGGAACATTCTTTCTCTCTCTGTCTTGACAGGGCTTCTCTGTGTAGCCTTGACTGTCTTCTTGCTTTGTAGACCAGGCTGGCTCGAACTTATATAGACCCTCCTGCTTTTGCCTCCCTGGGTGCTGAGATTATAGGCATGTACCACTGTGCCTAGCTGGAAGATTCTCTCTTAATGTGGTATTCCCTGGAACTAAAATTAACAGATCACTGTTGAAATAATCAGGTCATTTCAATCCATATGAGTTATCATATGAAGTAAGTTCATGTGTTATAAGAAAAATTATGAACATGTTATGTATAAATACCAAAGGAATCAAAGTTAATCTTTGAACATGTATTTATCCGAATAATGACAATAGCTGTTCATTAATATGTGGGGTCCATACTACATGTATGTACTTTCTGAGAACAAATAATTTGATTCTGCATGGGAGACCTGCACAGGTGTGTACACCTTCAAAAAGTGTGCATAAGACGTGGAAGACCCAGGAGAGAGTGACCTCCTCAGGGCAAGTGTTACTTAGGATCTGGTAACACTTGGGGATCAGGGCTTAGACTTCAGCCAACCTCACAGTGGTATCCTCTCAAACTCCTGTGGCTCATGGGGTGGATTTTAAAATGAGAGGGATTTTATATGTAGTGCACTCAGATCTACAATAGACAAAAGTCAAAATAATTGTTTTAAAAATTTAACAGACTCTTAATTAGTTTACTGCAGTTTGAAGAAACAGATTTTCAATGTTGTTAACTTGAAACTGATAGTTAAGTCCTTTGTGTAGGATGTTTGACGGTATATTCTCCAAAATCTTGAACTTTTGGTCTTTTTGTTGTTGTTGTTTCTAAAAATATTAATACCCAGTGACCTTCAAATGAGTGAAATTTCTTTCTTTCTGGGAAACTATGATAATACCACAGTGGATTTTGTTCTTCATTAGTGACTTTTATCACTTAAATAATACCCATAATAACTAAAGAAGGAATTTTTAAAATAATCTCTGTGTCAAGGGGCTCTTAATTCCATTATCCTTATTTGAAGAAAAATTAACATGCACTGATTTACAAAACGGGATCCACTTCACTGCAGATCAGGAAGACCAAGAAAATGTCTTTTTGTGTCTCATAAAAGGGAGGTACCTGCAGTTTGTTTTTCTAGCATTATACAACTTCTAAAATGTATGCCTGGAAGGGAGATGGTAGGGTCTGAGTTTTTACTGTAAAGAGTCTTTGATAATTCTACGTTGAACTTTTGAAATTTGTTTTATTCCTAAGGTCTGGGAATTGGAAACATGTTCTATGTTTTTTATGAAGATGGAATCAAAGTAATACAACCCACAGAATGTGAATTTCAGAGGCACATTAAGCCCAGTGAAAAGCTTCTTGGATTTCAGGCAAGTATCTGAAAAGTTTCTATAAAGATTAATAAAGAAAACTTTGTAAAGTAAAATTGTAGTTTGGAAAAAAAATGAATCCTATGACAATGAAAAATTTGTGACAAAAAATTCTAACTCCATAATGTTGTCTATGAGTTCATGAAGGTTTTATATATGAGAAGGAAAAGAAGAACACATTAACAATTTTAAAACTTGTTTGTGTTAAATGAATTTGATAGTCATGAAAGTTCAACAGTGAACACAAGATTCAATAACTGTTGGGTTTCTCAATTTAAAACATATGCAGTTTATGAGAGTGGAATTTAACAAAGTTAAAAAAATGATCGTAAATATTTTTTGGAATGTATGCATTTTAGAATGTGTAACACTAAAATTATTTCACCTATTTTCTTTACACAAATTTATATATATATATATATATATATACACTAAATACTTAGAATGTGTTATTTTAAATATAATAAACACACTTTACCAAAACCCATATTTAAAGTTGACAAGGCCATGGCATGTGACTAAAGAAGACATTTAATATCATGGTTTAGAACTTTATTTTATTTTATTTTTGTTAACTCTAAATTTTCTATTTCCTTCTTTCATTTTTTATTAATTAATTTATATCTCACTCATAGGCCCCTCCTATTTCTCCTACCATACCTATCATCCCTCCCACATCCTCTCTCCCCTATTCCTCAGAATAGAGGAGACCTCTACCCAGACATCCCAGCTCATCTAGTCATATGAGGACTGAGTTCTACTTCCTCCCCTGTGGTCTGGTAGGGAAGTCCCATGAAGGGAAAGTGACCAAAAAGCAGGCAACAAAATATATGTCAGAGAAATGCCCCACTCCCCTAACTAGTGGCCCCACATGAAGCCCAAGATGCCCATCAGACTTATCTTCTTTTGGTCCACGCAGTGTGGTATGTCTATCCTGTACTTTATGAATAAAATCTGCTTATAAATTAGTATATACCCATGTGTCTTTCTGGGTTTGTGATACCTCATTCAGGGTGATCTTTTCTAGTTCCATCCACTTGTCTGCAAATTTCATGATTTCCTTGTTTTCAATTGCTAAGTAGCATTCCATTGTTTAATGTACCACAGAATTTTATCCGACATTGAAGAAAACCTAATACCAATAATCCTCAAACCATTCCGCAAAACAGAAACAGAAGGAACATTGCCAAACTCATTCTACGAAGCTGCAGTCACCCTGATAACTAAACCACACAAAGACTCAACACAGAAAGAAAATCTCCCTTATGAAGATTGATGCAAAAATACTCAGTAAGATACTTGAAACTGAATTCAAGAACACATCCAACACATCATTTACAATGACCAACTAGGCTTCATCCCAGGGATGCAGGGATGGTTCAACATATGAAAATCCATCATTGTAATCCACCATATAAAAAAGCTGAAAGAAAAAAACATCACATGATCATCTCACTAGACACAGAAAATGCCTTTGACAAAATCTAATACCCCATCATAATAAAAGTCTTGGAGAGATCTGGGATACAAGGCCCATGCCTAAATATAATAAAGGCAATATACAGAACTGTATTTTAAATCTTCGTCAGCCCATTAGAGACCAGTGGTACTGCTGTATATTGGTAGATGAAGAAAGCAATTCACAGCTGAAAGCAATGCCCTAGAATGAGAAACAAACATAACTGGAGAACATAAAATATTATATTAGATAATTATTTCTTGCATGAATTAACTTTTTCTATGTTTCAAAATAGAAAATATAGTCATGCCAGTGTGTTCATATGTTGTGATACTGTCCTCCACAGCTTCAGGTTTCCAATTATCAAGTAATTTCATGCAAAGATAGTTGAGTATTACGTGCACTGACAATGTTTCATTAGGGAACCTGTCTCTATGTGTCTGTTGCTTTCTCTTTCTGTATCGCTCTGTCTCCCTCTTCCTTTTTATTTCTCCTTCTCTCCTTTCCTTTCTTCCTTCTCTCTTTGTCTTTTTACACATAAATTTATGTTAAGAATTATTGATTCTCAGCTAAGGGCTAAGATATTAAATCCAGTGTCACTGACAGTAGAACATGTAGGTGAAAGAAGATAAGTAAGTTTAACAATGCTATGGGTCATTCTATCAGGCTAGAAACTCAAACCGATGAGAATATGGAATCTTGAGTATGGAATTTACTGCCGATAGAAAACTCAATCTAGATTTCAATGTTACAGTTTTGAGATAGAATTTTATCTGTGTTGAGACACATGAGTTTTGGCACATACTCACCAGTCTAGATGGTAAACACTTTCACCATATCTAATTCATATATTTGGATACCACGGTTTAGTCGGGTGGATAGCGGTAGCAGCTTTTGCTTCTTCTTCTTAGTACGTGACAAGGGGCATATTCACGATGATCTCAAACTCTGCTGTACGTAAACATAGCCAAGAGTAGCAGGAAAACTATTTAACCAAAATCCGTTTACATGAAACCATGGCTAGTCATTCTCTGACTTTAAAGAGGGATGCAGCTTATGTCTTCCTTATTTGAACATTAGTTCCTGTTTTGTAATTTCACCAAAACTGGTTTTCTTTTGTAGTTTATCAGGAAGAGTTTACCACTACAGTTTTAGGGGATAAATATAATCTCAAGTGCCTATTAATTTATGGTGAGAAAGTCTGAGGTAATGTTTGGATGTTTTAACACATTTTTTTTTTTTGGAATAGAGAAATTAAACCTATATTATCTGATTGTACAGGATAATTTTCTTTCATATAAGCAATGTGAGAACCATTTTTTAGAATCCCTTTTTCTCATGAATAAAGAATAAACATCAATATGATATTTTTCAAAGTCATTTTCAACATTAAGATAATAACAGTTCAGTTCTCACACAGGACATGGATGAGTGAAGGGAAGATAAGGACTGATACACTTCAAATCCTCCATCAAATCCTTCAAAAGGTGCTGTTTGCTTGCTCTAAAAAATTCAATTTTGGTGCAATGTCAGCTTTCATTAGGTTTCAGACTGTGGGAGTGTGTTGGCAAGGATTCCTTCAGTGAGCTGTGCTATTCTTTCATCTCCTTGTTTGATTTTTGTCTTTTGTTTTGTATCTCTGATAGGCAGGACTCCTGCTATATTTATACTAGCTGTACACACAATTCCATCTTGACAGGGAGGGTATGATTTTCAAGGACATATATTTCTCTCCCAGGCTTCTTGATTCAAAATGAAATAAGTTTAGGAAAATGTTTAAACTCTTTTCAGATAACTAAATTTACTCTGTCAGAACTTAAGAACTGTTATTCTCGTTTACCACCGATGCAGACCTTAAGGTTTTGGTTAACTCCAGTGCTTACAGAAGTAGTTTTCTTTATATCCAGCTGCCAATCTGAACAGAAAGTAGAATGGGCTGCTTTCAAGACAGTGGCCATGTCCTGTCCTGCTTCAGTATTGTAGAGCATGGCCCAAAGATTCTAGTTCTGCATTAAATGCGAATTTAATGTGTTCTGAGAAGCAAAACTGAACTTTTGTAGTAAACTGGAAAATGGATCTCTAAAATTCCTGAATTTTAACTTTTGAACTTCCTTATTTGAAAGCATGTTCCCTTGCAAAATTGCCCAGGAATAGTGTACGTAGGAGTAGGAGATTCCTAGTGAGCACACTACCGGGATGATGAAGGGTTGACCCAGTTTCCACAGGGCTCTCACCAACTTCTAGTGACAATTCCAGTTTCTTTTTTTTTGTTTGTTTGTTTGTTTTTGTTTTTGTTTTTGTTCCGCTGCTAATCTGATTACTACTTTTCAATCTGTGCTACCCCAAACATTTGTTTAATGAATATCCCTCTTCTGTGGTGTGGACAATGTTTTTCAGGTCTACCAGTGAGCAGCCCTCTGCATTCTGGATGGGCTTTCATTTGTAGAACTGTGGAGTGATGAAAGTTTAAGCTTTTTCCCTTTGCTTGCACAGTGACATCCTGCAAAGAACTCCTAGGGAGAGCAATATAAACACCTAAATAGTCTTTCAGGGCTTACTCAATAAATTTCAAAAGAAATACATTTATAAAATTGTTGAGGTGCTAGATGTAAAGAGATCTTCTGATGTTTTTAAATTTCATGCTGCTGAACCATTCTTGCTCTGTTTCATGTGGACATCTGCTTGCAAGCTTGCACTACAGTGAACTTTGGAGGAGGGGGTTTTAGATATGTAGCTATGTAGATATGTCCTGATGGAACTGTACAGTTCTATTGTGACTTGGGTCTCTCAAGGTTATAGAAGACATCCTAGTAATACCCCTTTAAATGTGCTGTTGATAACAACAGCCAGGTTATTTTAATACCTGTGGGCAGAATAATTAGTGTTATCAAATCACTTCAATTTTCTACTCGGTGAGTGTTGAGGGTAGAGGTGTTACATGATCAAAAGCAGTACTGATGCTCATGTTGTGTGTCTCCTCTTCTGCCATCCTACGTTACACATTAAATTAAACCCTTTGTTGTCCTTGGCATAAACCATGTTTTGAAATATCACATATGATTTTTTATGTTGGTTTGTTTTGACAACTAATCATTTAAGCACTCATTTTTAAAATGTACTAAAAATTGTATCAGATTACACAATTATCTGAATTATTCTGGAAAGGGGGAAACATATTTCAGCAAATTAACAGTTTTAATTTTATTTTATTAAATTATCAAATTTATAGATACTGCAAAACTTTTCAATATTGAAAATTAAATTTCTTTAGTCAACCAACCACCTTTTCAGTTCTATCCTAAGAATTAAAATGATTGAACAGCAACAGCACAGGCTTTAAGATCAACAATCAATAAATGGGACCTCATGAAACTGAAAAGATTCTGTAAAGCAAAGGACACTGTCATCAAAACAAAATGACAACATACAGACTGAGAAAGAATCTTCACCAACCCTATATCTGACAGAGGGCTAATATCCAGCATATATAAAGAACTAAAGAAGCTGAAAAGCAGCAAACCAAGTAATCCAATTAAAAATG